TATTTTTTACGAAAGTTCTCTGTCAACAGTGATTTGAATCCTTACATTAAATTCCATAGCAGAGGAAATATTAATTAACATAAATATATTAAACAGTTTGAACTTGTAAGAAATGATGTAATTTCGAAGTTTACTATTTATTCATTCTTTGACTTTTTATTGAAATTTTGTTATTGTAGTTGTATTACAAACATAAAATGAAAACATTTTTTATTATTGAAGTGATGAAAATAAAGAATTTTTGGAATTGTGAGAAAGTGTTTTATGTTATCAAATTACGACGTTTGCCTTTTAAGAGAATACGGAACATTTGTACTATTTTTATTAAACTGTTATACATGATTGAATTATAAATAAATGCTTCGATAAATTTTTGTTTTAATTAAAATTTGTTTAGATTGATTTTTAATTCCAAGACATTTGTATTGTCTTACTTCGGACAATATCGGTTCGAACGCCATTAAAGTTTAAACGAATTTTATAATGGCAGTTTGAATGCCTTGGCTTTCGATTTACTACGCAATAGGGCTATAAGCTGGTAGAAATTAATACAGTACATAAGTGGTAAAAATAGATTGAATTCTTTTGTAATAAACTTGGAGTTTTAGTTTTTTGCATTTGTTTTTTAAATAAATGGTGGAACTAAAGAAAAACAACGGAAAGTAGAAAAATATTTATTACGTGCCAGCTTCTTTTGCCAGAAAAATCAGCTGTAGAAGTGTATTTGAAAACTTTTTTACTTTTTCGTGTGATGCGTTTTATCGGCTCTTCGAGCTCTTTCTGGTAATCTTTTGATAGGTAACAATGATTTAGCCACTACATCTGATTTACGTATGAGTAGCATGTACATAATCGACGGCATACGTTTCTATAAACATTTTTCAATATCTATTTTACATTATTGAACTTATTATTACACTCAAGTAGGCTATTACTGGCGTGTGGTCCAAAACACTGTTGTGGGAGAATAGTTAATGATAGACCAAACAGATATTAAATACTTTTGTTTATTTAATTTGCGTGCACTTTATAGAACATCCCCACCATTTATTATAACATTAAATTTTTGTATTGTTTCTGAAAGTTTAATAATTTAAAAAAAAACTGAAAGTGCCAGTATTTTAGATCGAAAGTGATAAAGGTTTGACAAAAACAACCTATGAAAGTGATGATCAAATTTGTAATTCTCGTCATAAATTTTATTGCATAAAGTATAACTGTATCTTGAAAATGAACGGGTTATCTGTTATATCTAGAGTGGGGTTTTACTTAAATACCCATATTTTGAGTGCTATATCATACCAGTGAAATTTCTCATTGTTATAACATGAGATAATTTTTACTGTGTTAAAAATTTGATATGTATATCTTTCTGCGTTTTTGAATTCAATTACATTAAAGTAAATATACAATGCACATTTTTGTCAATTAACGAGTATTCTAAATTGTTAGATGGATGACAGTATAAAGAATCTATGGTTGGTTTTAGCGATGTTACAGTTTGACTACAGTAATATATTAACATCGCGTATTTTAGATACAAGCTGGGCAATCATATCATATTTTATTATTAAAACTTCTATATATTTTTAATTACAATGAATTGGCAAATGTAGTTTAAATGTGTAGAATTCGTATAATGTAAAAGTTCAATTTATCCTCACTATTTATTTGAAAGTGATATTGGAATAAAATCTACTGTGGAACTAAAACTTAATGCTACAATTGAGAAGAAATGCATATGTTTATTTATATAAATGGCAATAAAAGATGAATATAGAAGAAAATTATCTTGTTGAAACTTCTTATTTCTTAACCATTTTTTTCTGTATTTTTTCATTCAGTAAATAATAGTAAATTACAGCAATCAGCTTTGTAAATGTGGTACTAAATAATTAATACATTAAAATGGAGTAATATAATTTATTATGTACAATTGTACATATGCATGTACAATTGATATGGATTATTTAAAAATGGTAATAATAATTAGAAATGAGTTGCTCTACTTTTCCGGCAGTATTTAAAAGTGCGCCATCTGTTATTTTTTATTTAAAATATTCTTAAATTTTTAATTATTATAAAATGGCAGAAAGCTTAGTTTGGACTGTAGAGTTGAGTTTTATAAAACAAAATTGTAAATGCTAATAATCTGTAAAATCGTCATTAAGTCCGTTTCGCCTTAAGATAACCATAACCCCCATTATCTCTCTATTGCTCGACCTTTAACTACGAAAATTCATTAGCATGAATAATTTTCAAGAACAATCCTCACTGCCAAATTTCAGAGACTTTCGACAAAAAGCACAGAAGTTATTAAGCTTTAAATAACATGAACAAGACCATGCCACAAACACATTCTCACACGCTAACATTCACACATACACATACACGTTGAATATTTTTGCATTTCTCGATGTTTCAATGTGTTTTTAGTCCAAAAATATAAAAATCTGGGGGTCATTTATTGCCAAATCTATACTTTCCCTGTGTTATAATAGCCGGAAATGTAAGAATTAAACGATCGGATGGTTCGCTCTTCTTTCATGCCTTGTCAGGACTGACACAGAAGCCACGATGGCTAATTTGTTTTGGTTTTGAAAGTAGGACGTGGGAGCAGTCGGGTGCATGATTGATCAAATTCCGGATGCAAGACAGTGATTCAGCACAACTGAAGTACTGCACCCAGATACCAGAGTTAACGACAAATAACCGTTTAATAATCACAAGAAAGGTTACATGATACACGTGTCGTAATACCAAATTTACCGACCTATCTAATGGAGTGGTCCCAAGAGATAGAGTTTACATTGAATCGTACATTGTCATTAATACCTGAGGTTTATGAAATCCTTTAAAAAAACAAGTAAACGTGATAGGTTGGAATGTCCATTTCTTGATATCTCTTAGAGAAAATAACTTATTATAGTAATAATAAGTTATAATACAAAAATATTTCAGTATATATATATAAAGAATAAAAATCTTAGAAAATAGTATGGACCGGAATCTTAACAACACAGTATGAAATGAAGCGTGACAAAGAACAATAACTGTTTCACCCTAAAAGTAGACGTGAATATTTATAAATTTTATGTTTTTAATACTGTTTACTGTTGTTCGCATTTATCCTGTACAGGTAAGCAAATATGATGTTTACTTTTATGATTTTTTTTAGTATCAACGGAACAATCCACGTGTTTCTCAACATTATACTGCATTCTACACTGTACTCTAACAGCAAAAGTTGATACCCATTAACGTTCTCACTAAAAAATCTCACTAAAAACAATTTTATATTAAAGATTTATACAAATACATTTGATTACTTGACAAGCATTCAGCAATTTTCACACGCTATTCAAACGACAGACACGTAGTAGTGAATTAAAACTACAGTTCATTCTTAGAATTACAGTAGAGCGTCGTTTATCCGAAGGTCGGTTATCCGAAACGTCGGTTATCCGAAGGAATTCTAGTCGACAAATTTTAATTTTCGCCAGTGCTGTGGCGCTGTAATCTTTGGCTATGTCTTCGGCTACTCAAATAATTTACGTTTTTGATACTAAATTAACTTCTGAAGTATAATTTTTTATTGTTTTTATATTTTTCAATATATTTATTTCGTTTGTACAGAATAGAGAAATAATTTTTAACGATACAATATTCTTCGTTAGGCTTAACCTCGACGAAAATTCAACGCGAAGCGACACGCATCGGAAAAAAATTTCAACACCGGATACGTTAAACTATTTTTTCGTGCATAATCGGTTATCCGAAATACCAGTTATCCGAACAACCCCTGTTTCAAATTCATTCTGATAATCGACGCTCTACTGTATTTTTAATTCAGTATGAACGTACATCTACGGTGCAATTATATTAGTGAAATAATTTAGCAAACGAAATAAATAATTACTGTACAATTAGTTTTATAGTTAATTACAATTAACTATGGAAGTAATTTTCGTTTGTATTCTTTCGCTAAAATATTGCTCACGTGTTGAAATTAAATACTATCAGAATACATTGAATTTTTTTAAAGAGGTTTTACTCAAAGACAAAACCTTTTAAGCCGCATTCACACGAGAGAAAAGCCGTTTCAGTGCGATTATTGTTTACGGTAGTTGTCTGACAAAAGTTATTTGAAGTCTTACATGAAACACCAAAGCATAGAAAATATTAATTAACATAAATATAGTAAACAATTTTAAACTTGTGACGAATGATTAAAAATCTTAATTGAAACGAATCAATGTATGACAATTGACTGACTTATAACAATATTCTGTATGAAAATTACAATGATTAGATGTAGATATTTCACTACAAAATCCAGCAAACGAGATGCTTAATTTCCTTGCAACTTTTGATGATATTTATTGAAATAATTAAGAAATGTAGATAAGGTCTAATCCGTGTTTTATATATTTTAACTATCTGGTTAACCGCCATTTTGTTTTTATGGGTCATTTTATGTAATTTTTACATTGTTTGAATAACACATATTTATACAAGCTTATGTTAATAATACTAGGGTATATATTTCATAACTAAATTACTGTCCGAATAACTTCTCTATTGTACACTTTTGTACACAAAAAACTGTTTTACATAATGAAAAATATTTTTTTGAACAGCGTGAACGTACAATTTGTTAATATAATGAAAATAAATAGCTTACAATAGTTTAACTAAATGCTTGATTATAATAATAGAAAATTATAAGTATTTTATACAATTAATAGTATAGAAAATGTCATTGAACAAAACAACTCTTAGAAACTATAAGCGTACTGTACATCAATTTGCATAATTTAAAATGAAACCGGTAATTGTTAAGAGATGACAGGAAATTAAAGGTTTAATAAACAATAAATAAATGTTTGCATTGTTTATTAATAATAAATATGAATAATAATATGTTTCTTAAACACTTCGAATGCAAACGTTTGTTAAAAAGATACCATTCATGACGTGATGTATACGACTTTTGTTTTTAAATATTAGATGGCGCCACTGTTATTTTTAAATCTGTAACGGAAAATGGTGAGTAACGTCTTACTACTTTTCTTTGACAAGAGAATTACTTCTTAGCTTTAAAAAGATTTAAACGTCGTCTCGGCCATTAGGAAATGAAGAACTTTCCTCGGAAGAAACGAAAATGATAACAGCAACAACATTTAATTGAAGGAACGAAACGAACCTTCCACGTGGATTTTTTCAAGTAAATGTTCGTTTGTTATTTTAATTACATACGTTATATTCTCTATCTTATTCGATAGATAGTAAATAAATTAATAAATTCACTAAATTTAAATTTTAAATTAAAGTATATTTTCCTTATTAACTACACAACTAAACTGATTTACCTTTTGTCTATTGTAGGATTAAACGTGCCTTTTGAATCAAAGAAATTGCTTTTGGTATTATCAATAAAAATACTCAATGGATGGAATGACTTTATTTTCACTAATCAATGAAAGCGTTAATAATTAGATCTTATTTGTTTTTTTCAGATTTGTCAACACTCGTCTTAAGTATTATGAAATATCGTTTGTAAATTTAAAATATATTCGTGTTTAACAATTTAAAAGTTTCTCAAATAATTTCGAGATAAAATTATACTTAAATTTTTCTTATTCATTGTTTAATTTCTACATTTTTTCTTTAAGATATTTTTCTTCCGAAAACGCAACATTTGTCCTGAAGAATTTCCCTGAAACGGTACAAGAATGGAAGAAGGAACTGAATATTTACTTCTGAGAAAATGGATTTGAAATGAAAACGATTTATCTGCCTACAGAATTACTGGAAATTTGTGTCGATGAATTAACATTGAATATTTTTTGTCAATGCGCCGCGAAGTCATCATTATAAACACTTCTTTTTTATTATTATTATTTTTAATGCAAACATGGGGCTGTTCGTTACAAATGTTATTTATGTTTGGTTGAATTCAGTTTCATTTGTTAACTTATTTTGAACCGTTTACTAGAAAAAAATGCAGAAGACATTACTTCCGCATTTTTTGCAGTAATTGATACGATCGATTACTTTTGAACATTGAAGTTTAACATTTCCTGTTTCGTAGATTTCGCCAATACGAAGAAGAGGAAGTTTGTGTGTGGAATTTGTGGCAAAGGATACTTTCGGAAGGATTACTTGCAAAGTCATAGGATGATTCACACCGGAGAAAAGCCGTTCAGTTGCCAGTTATGTGGAAAAAGATTCATTCAAAGTGCCCATCTACGAACTCACCTGAGGATTCATACCGGAGAGAAGCCTTTTACGTGCGACCATTGCCAACGAAGCTTTAATCAAAGACAAAATCTTGTAAGGCATCTTCGCATCCACACGGGAGAAAAGCCGTTTAAGTGCGATCATTGTTTTCGACAGTTCTCTAACAAACGTAATTTAAATTCTCACATTAAACGCCATAGCAGAGAGAACAATAATTAACCTAAATATAATAAACAGTTTTTAACTTGTAAGAAATTATTTAATTCCGAAGATTACCGTTTATTCATTTACTTTGAATTTTTCTTGAAATTTTATTAATGTATTACAAACATAAAATGAAAACGTACTCTATTATTAATGTTATTGTAATAAAGAATTTCTGGCATTGTGAAAAAATGTTTTTTTATTATCGAAATTAAAACATTTGCTGTGTATGAGAATACAGAATAAATGTATGCTTTTTACTATTTTTATGAAACGATATCTTGAATTTGTTTCAAAATTTAATGTTTTATTCCATTACATGTCAAAGTTAAAAATTAATTTAAACCAATTTTTAAATATTTGTTTTTAAAAGAAAAAATTTCGAAGCATTTATTTATGTGTGCCGGGCTGTGAACGGCTCACGTATTTGTAAAATCTAAGTGACTCGTACAACATGGAATTCATATAAAACGGAATTATCAACAGTGTTATAGGGAGGTCGACTATATTTCTACTATGTCATTCATTTCTGTTTCTAAACAAGAAAGGGTCATGGGTCACTAAATATTAATGATGTTTGATACAAATTATGAACGATATGATAAATAATTTGTTTTCATTATTCAAGAGTTAACTGTAGCGATTAAACTGTAATTTGAAAAAATAAACTGTAGACCTATAAATTCCCACTGTCAAAAATTTATCCGGGAAATGTGTTAGATAGACGACCGGCACAACACCTGTATACAAGGAAAAGTATGATGTACAGGGGCAAGGCACTACAGTAATAATTTGAGTATTAGAGCAAACATTTTAAATACTGTAATGTTTATTTTCTCAGCAGTTATATATAACAGAGGAAATGTATGGCGATCGGTCAAAAAAAAAAAAAATAACAATCTCACCTCCAATATTTATACATTTTTGGATTTAGGACACCTTAAAACGTCGAAAAAATTCGGAATATTTTCTGTTAGTGTTAGTGTGTGTGTAAGTGTGGGGCACGACTTTGTTCACCTTGTTTGAAGTTTAATAACTTCTGTGCTTTTTATCGAAAATTTTTGATATTTTGCAGGGAGGTTTTGTATTAGGGGGTTGATGCTGTTTAATTTTCTTGTTTAAAGGTGAACGGGTTGGGGAAATAAACGGAGATATCGTGTGTCGTATCTCGAATAGAGTCGGAATGAATTACGATTTTCCTCCTTATTATTAGCATTTACAAATTTTTCTTATTAAAAACACACCACCAGCCTCAAAATTAAGCTTTTGGCCATTTTATAATAATTAATTAATAATATTAAAAGTTTTAAATAATAAAATATCGTAAGATGTCGCGATACACGCAGTTTTAAATGTTGTCTGGAAAGTTAAGCAACTCGTTTCTGGATTTTTTTAAACGTAAGGAGAAAGGACTCCTCGATTCTGATTCTCCATCCACTGTTTTCAGAAAATCATTTCCTATTTATCAATGAAAACAATAAACTATTCCCTATTTATAAAAGCAAATTGAATTCTATCAGGTCACTGTCACATTTTATTTTTTAAAAGACTTAAATTGGTATTCTCTCTGTTCTAGGATACTGAGAAATTGTTAACCTTAATCAAGACCTAATATTCATAATATTAAATTATAATTATATTACATACTTTTATAGTTATAAGTCTCTTACCTATTTCACTTTTATAGCCAGAATTACTCCAAATATTGGAACCGTTTGTGTTGTTTGTAGCAACTGACTTTCCATAAATATTTTTCTGCAAAATTAAGTTACATTATCAGAAAAGATGATCTTCATAAGTAATTCTCTCATTTAATTCCTATGATATAAATCTCATACAGATTATCTATTTTAATTGTTTTTATTAACTATTTAATTGTATTTTCCTGTTCTTTGTAAGTACCCCCTATAACACTGTTGATTATTCCGTTTTATATGAATTCCATGTTGTACGAGTCACTTAGATTTTACAAATACGTGTGCCGGGCTGTGAATGGCTCACGAATTTGTAAAATCTAAGTGACTCGTACAACATGGAATTCATATAAAACGGAATAATCAACAGTGTTATAGGGGGTACTTACAAAGAACAGGAAAATACAATTAAATAGTTAATAAAAACAATTAAAATAGATAATCTGTATGAGATTTATATCATAGGAATTAAATGAGAGAATTACTTATGAAGATCATCTTTTCTGATAATGTAACTTAATTTTGCAGAAAAATATTTATGGAAAGTCAGTTGCTACAAACAACACAAACGGTTCCAATATTTGGAGTAATTCTGGCTATAAAAGTGAAATAGGTAAGAGACTTATAACTATAAAAGTATGTAATATAATTATAATTTAATATTATGAATATTAGGTCTTGATTAAGGTTAACAATTTCTCAGTATCCTAGAACAGAGAGAATACCAATTTAAGTCTTTTAAAAAATAAAATGTGACAGTGACCTGATAGAATTCAATTTGCTTTTATAAATAGGGAATAGTTTATTGTTTTCATTGATAAATAGGAAATGATTTTCTGAAAACAGTGGATGGAGAATCAGAATCGAGGAGTCCTTTCTCCTTACGTTTAAAAAAATCCAGAAACGAGTTGCTTAACTTTCCAGACAACATTTAAAACTGCGTGTATCGCGACATCTTACGATATTTTATTATTTAAAACTTTTAATATTATTAATTAATTATTATAAAATGGCCAAAAGCTTAATTTTGAGGCTGGTGGTGTGTTTTTAATAAGAAAAATTTGTAAATGCTAATAATAAGGAGGAAAATCGTAATTCATTCCGACTCTATTCGAGATACGACACACGATATCTCCGTTTATTTCCCCAACCCGTTCACCTTTAAACAAGAAAATTAAACAGCATCAACCCCCTAATACAAAACCTCCCTGCAAAATATCAAAAATTTTCGATAAAAAGCACAGAAGTTATTAAACTTCAAACAAGGTGAACAAAGTCGTGCCCCACACTTACACACACACTAACACTAACAGAAAATATTCCGAATTTTTTCGACGTTTTAAGGTGTCCTAAATCCAAAAATGTATAAATATTGGAGGTGAGATTGTTATTTTTTTTTTTTTGACCGATCGCCATACATTTCCTCTGTTATATATAANCACAATTGTTTATTTTATAATAGCTAATTACATTTGTAAACTTTACATTTTTCGGAAGTGTTATTACTTCAACCGTATAAGTAATGACTACAACAAAGTTGAGCGAAAATATTATAAGTGTATTTTTCTAATTATAATCAAATTATTCTAATTAATTTATTTAAAAGTGAGTTTAATATCTAATGCACTGTAATGCAGACGAAAACTTTGTTTTCGAACACTGCACACACAATATTGTAGAGTGCATTTAAAAAATAATACGGTTATTCTAAAAATTTTCTGTATCACAGAAATGAAAATATTTAAGTACTAGCAGATAAGCCTGGCATTACTCGGGCAAAAAGTAACGATAGTGAAGATTAAGATTATTACATTATAGCCAATTTCACCAGTTTTCACATAACGCAAGAATTAGGTCTTTCTGTTTAAGTTTTCAGACTAATTAGAGAATTTTTACATGCGTCTAAAAATATGTTCGATTCCACGTATAAACGCAAAAAATCGCATCCGCGCCTGCAAATCTTGCACGTCCTTTTCTCATAACACATTCATTGTTATTTAACACTTCGATTGTTAACACTTTCATTATTAATACTTTTTTTTATTAATACTTTCATTGTTAACACTTCCCCGAAGAAAAAATGTTTACAATGAAATGTTAACAATGTGCTGAAATTGTTAAAATATGTTTATTTTATTACAGAGCAAAAAACATGGTATTGTACATAAAAGCATATGTAATCTGTGAAGGTTTCCTAAATAGTTATACTATTAATGATTTACTTCATCCCAATTACCAGGTTAAGAATGCCTCGAAACATGACAGAGTTTCCGTTGTATCTCTTGCCACGATGTTCACGCTGCATTTTCTATATAATTAAATTCAATTACTTGATAATGTGCCACATTGTTTAAACAATGATTTAGTACTTTAATTGTATTTTCATTAAAATATTTCTTCACTTCTACTAGATATTTACACTAACATGCAGTAGTGTATAATTGATAAACCGTTAAAACATAGATTTAATGCTATTAGATGCGGAATTGTTGGGAGTAAAGGCAATATCACATGATTTCTGTTTGCTCAACACTCCAGTTACTTGCACCACCGAAGAGAAAACGGAGTATAAAGCACTCACCATCTGTAAATGAAAACAACGTGTTTATTATATAGTAGATAAACTGCTATATATCGACTTACCCGTATCAGAAAATTTTTTCGAACGTAAAAGAAATCAGCAATAGAAATTCCCATTTTTGGCTTCCCGAATCTTTTCATAAAACAGTTCACCTAATAATATAAAAAAAAATAGTAGATTGAATTTTATAATTCCATAAGTACATTTCACTCATACTTCACCTTGTACTTGAATTCAAGTGACAAATTGTTTGAAGAAAACCTCTGTATTGATATGAAGTTATCGAACATCTGTAAAACAGACGATCAAATGTTGAAAAGTAATTAATATGTTAAAAATTTCGGTGTTAATAGGCGACACTACGCAATCTACGAAGGGGAGTCCATTGTGTAAAAATTGGCCCTTATTTAGTAGTTAGATATATGATCTGGACATGTCGAACTACAAGCGGCCAGCTTATGGGTGAGACGCAAAAACATCACCAACTACTGCCATACACTGGTTTGATCTCTTAAACCAGTAGTGAACGCTTCGATTAAAAGAATATTAACCAAAATCTTAAATACTATAATGCAGTGAACTATAAAAAATAATGTACATAAAATTATATCAATTTGTTTATAAAAACAGTGTTTGATCGATTCCGATTTCACTTCAAAGTATTACTGTAGTAAAAATTTCTATAGAATACATGGAGTAAACTTTCAAAGTTTATTCTATGTATTGACAAAAATGATTCAATAAATTGTATAAGATTTATAAAACAGTATCAAAGATAATTACCATAGAGGTCAAGTAAGAGAGAGACCACGACGCCAAAAGACATCCTATTAAGAACAGCATCGAAATTCCACCGAAAATTAGTCGAGCAACAATGCCGATGTCGAAAAACATCGAGGCAAAACACAGAAAGCATGTCTCGTATGTAAAGTGAAGGTAAATCAAAGCGAAAAGATTTTCCCATCGTCTGTTGGCCGTTTGAAACATCTCCCAAATTTCTGTGTGTTTTTCACACATTTCTTGTAATTTATTTTTCAGCGATAAGGAAGTTGTGTTTGATTCTTCTAATTCTTCAGATAACTTTATAAGTCTTTTCTCGATAATTATTACAACGATAGAAAATAGAAGAAGGGCTGAACCTATTTGTGCTACGAACTGCAGATAAATAAACGACAAGTAAATGGAACAAATTGTAGCTTCGACTTCACTTCCGCCGTGTTTTCTTGTTGTTGGAAACACAATTATTGTTGCTGCGTTAGAAACAGTCAAAATAACGAAAAACAAGACTACGAAGCAAGCTAACAGAGGCAATTGCAGTTGAACCGGCAAATTTTCTTCACCTTTATATGCACTTTTCATGTAATGACCAGACATCTTGTTTCTCTTCAAAATTGTAAATTGAATAGCTACGTATATATTCATAATTGAAATCACGACCCCCATTTCTTCAGTGTATTTACCATAGGCGCCAACAAAACTTCGGTAACAGAAATTATCTTTGTTAAATGTCAACAAAACTAAATAAAACGATGAAAACCAGAAAAAAAACTCAATCATATCTACGTAAAAACCATAGAATGTACTTTTCTTTCTTTCTGTTTTTCCATTCTGTTGTTCGTCGAAACAGGTACATTTCTCGAAAGGGTTCATGCCAAAAACTTTTATAACAGAAAGTAGAGGTTGAAAATTGTAAGCGATGCAACGATCCGATCGTGTCCAAATGCAACTCGTATTCGTTTTGTTGTTGAAAATTTCTATTTTTCGAACATTGTTGATGAATTTTGAAATGTGGTTTCCCATTATTTCTGTTTTCCTTATAAACCTTCTAAGAATGATGATAAGATTGAAGAGATTAATTCATGTCATTTCAGAGTAATGTGATTAGTTTATGTTGATTTTTATTCAATATACATATATTTTTCAACTTGCACTGTTTTCATTCGGACTTCATGATCGTAAGAACCCCACGGTTTCTATAATAAAAATAACTCAATGTAACATTTTTTATATAATATATAAACTATGCCATTAAATATCATTCAATATATTATTTATAATATAAGTATTGTTTTTAATTTCATAATCTTAATCTTAATCGATAATAATATATAATATGTATCGCGTACTTTATGTACCAGGGCGACATTTTCTAATATTCCAATTCGAATGTCTGGCTTTTTAGACAATTCACTTTACGAACAAAATTGGCATGATACATTCGAACAAAATGTTCCAGGTAAAAAATTCTGTTCGTAAACTGAATTGTGCAAAAAAGGAGAATGCATAACGAAAATGCAGGAAAAGTGCTATTTCCGTATTTCAGTACTAATGACATTCGGATCAAAATCGAATTAATTAATATAAATAGCGCTACTTGACATTCACGTAATATAAATAGCATGTAAAAATTTATGTTTAAATATAATTAAATTATATTAAATGACAAAACTTTATTAGAGTCGCTCCACGTTATTTGGCGGATTCAGATATATTGCGCTTTTTCTTTGTGTCTCGACAAGCGCAATATAAAAACTGGCTACTGTATTATATAAAATAGTATATATTTTTAATATTTATTAATGCTAGGTAACCAGTTAATTATAACTAAAAGTAATAATTAGATTTTAAAACAATAAAATAATAATTAAAACAAGTCTATACCCCGAAAATAAAACTGTAATTATAACCGAAATCGAATCGATTGAAACATAATCTTTGTGAGTGTGGCTGAAGAACTTGTTGTCTGTCTTCATAGATTTGGTGATATTTCATTTCCAGCAATCAGAGTTGAGTTTCTATTTACAGCACTTCTTTGTACAATACATATAGATATGTATAATATTATATTAGATATGTAGGCACTTTTATAAACAAAGTACAGCTAAAAATGTAAAAAATAATTTGATTTAAGAGTCACAACAAATTATTACATTTCATATTGATATGTCGTGTGTCATATCTCGAGTAAAGTTGGTATAATAAAAGGTGCCGTAACACACGCAATTTAAATAAAAAATACGCTATAAATGAAAATTCTTAATTACTTATAGTATTAGTTCATTTCAGGGATAAAACATCCTAATAATTAAGTAGCTATTAATAAGATTCGAGTTCAAGGTACAAGTATTTGACATTCGTTAATACAGGACAGACAAAAAGTTCAACCCAACGACAGTGTATGAAAATACATACCTAAGAATTAAACAATAACTATGATGCCTTCACAGAAAAAACTGAACAACGCACACTTTTTCTATAGTGATATCTACTGTCATAATTTTCCTATCTTTTCCGAAAGCACAGGATTCAATGTTTTCCACTACCTTCAATTTGTAAAGCAAACAACCAAAATAGAGGTTTATGCTAAATTAATATATCAGATAATATACGACATTATCATAAATTATAATAATTTATTATAGCTGTGCACGCCAACAAGATATTCACTAAAAGCTGATCTTTCAATCAATTACTCACTTGCAGAAAATTAAATTTTTTATTTTACAGTTATTCCCACAATTATTCATATTTGTTTTGTGTAATTTTTCATTAACTACACACCTTTTGCGAAAATATTATCATAAACGATCGTGTAAATTTATTATTTAGATTTTTTTTGAGAATTGGCGAAAAATTCTTCGATACATATGTACATTTTTAAACCCATGAATTCATCAATTATAGCGAGGTTGCTGCCGAAGTTTTCATCTCTAAAACGTGAACGTCGAAAGTCCAGCGCCGCTATCTTCTAAGCGGCGCTTGACGTTCGACGTTCACGTTTCAGAGGTGAAAACTTCGGTTGCAACCTCGCTAAATTATGTTTCTTCAAATCGTTAATAATAAACTATTAATACAGTAATTCCCTTGATTACATCTGATTGGAATGTCTAGTCATTAATTTGCTACAGTTAAAAATATGAACAGACAAAAGGGTATTTATTACTTCTGTTTTTATTATAAGTTGCGTAATTATTACGCTGTTTTTTGAAGAAATTCGAAGCTATACGTTACATGTGATCGTTTTTTGCTGTTTCCATTACCTTGTTAAATATTACATCACAAGATTGGTTCGTTTCATTATCGTTAAGTTGATCTGTTCTGTAAACAATTCTATAAATAACTGTAGATTGTGTACAGAACATGATTAAAAGACGTTGCCAATGTGGAATAATTGATTTTCACATTAGCCAAGAAACGCTTGTTAAGACAATGCTCAAATAATGATGTATTGAAAAGTAAATATTGATATAGCAAACGTAAAATATGGATGTCTTAATTAATTAATTAATTAATTAATAGCCAAATACAGTAGAGCGTCAATTATCCGAAATGTCAATTATCCGAAAGAATTCCAGTCGGAAAATTTAAATTTTCGCCAGTGCTTTGGCACTGCAATCTTTGGCTATGTCTTGGGCTACACAAATATTTTACGTTTTTGATACTAAATTAACTTCTGAAGTATAATTTTTTATTGTTTTTATATTTTTCAATATATTTATTTTGTTTGTACAAAATAAANATTTTTAAATATTTGTTTTTAAAAGAAAAAATTTCGAAGCATTTATTTATGTGTGCCGGGCTGTGAACGGCTCACGTATTTGTAAAATCTAAGTGACTCGTACAACATGGAATTCATATAAAACGGAATTATCAACAGTGTTATAGGGGGTCGACCGTATTTCCAAGAGATTGTACTGCCTTACTTCGGACATTGTTTATAGAAAAAGTTGAAATGTAGAAACCGTGTTACAAGAAGAATTTCTGTAGGTCCAATTTTTTCTCAGTTGTGCTTTGATTTGGCATTCCGATGTCAACGGTAAAAATAGAAAAGTTTTTCGTGCAAATCAATTCGGGCGCCATTGAAGTTTAAATGAATTTCGTAATGGCGGTTTGAAAGCCTTGGCTTTCGATTCAGTACACAATGGGGCTATAATCTCGATAAACTGGAAGAAATTAATCTAAGGTACGTAAGTTTTAAAAATAGATTTAATTCGTTTGTAATAAA